TAGTCACCATAACATCCCCAAAGACTGCAGAGTGTCAAGTAGTCATAATCAGGGATTACTTTTAGCTTTCTTCCCATTTTAATTTTTAAGAGTTTACTTTGTATTTCCAAAATTACTACCTCAGTAAAATATCCCTTAGTTATTTTTAATTCTATGCTTACCATAAAATTCCCTTTTCATCAAATAGTTCTCCCTCACCACCCCTACAAAAATGAAAGAATATTTAAATCTCACATGCTTTCTTTGAAGGCTATAGGTTTCTGTTCATTTTCCTGAAAGTCATAGTATTTTCAGTTATGGCATGCAGAATTCTAAGAGAGCCCCTAAGATTCCCACCCTCCGGTGTACATACACTTTCTCCCAATTATTCAGTCAAACACTAAATCTAGGTGCTGCTGTGAGGACATTTTGCAGATATAATAAAGGTCCCAATAAATCAATTGGCTTGAAGATAGGAGAGTATCCTTGATGGGCCTACCTTAATCGTATGACATTTTTAAAGAGCCTGGACTTTCCCATAGGGAGATTCAAAGTGTGAGAGAGATTTGTTGTGAGGGAGATTCTCCACTGCTGGCTTTGAAGACGGAGATGGCCAAGTGACAAGTAATGGATGGCATCTGGGAGCTGAGAGAGGCCTCTGACTCGCAGCCAGCAAGAGAACAGAGACCTCAGTTCAGCTTCAAGGAACTGAGTTCTGCCTAATAACCTAAATCGGCTTGGAAGAGGATCACAAATTTCAGATGAGAAAGCCCCAATCAACACCTTGATTTCATCCATGTGAGATCCTGAGCAGAAAGCCCATCCATGCCACATACAGAGCTGTGAGCTAATAAATAGGTGTTGCTTTGATCTGCTAAATTTGTGGTAATTTGTTACAAACCAATAGAAAATTAATACACCTGTGTTTGTTTTATCAACACAAGTAAAGCATAAAAAAATGCAGGAGCAAAATGGTGCATCTTTAATTTCAAAAAGGTTAGATTCCAAAAGCCTTTACCAAGTGTATTTCTTTTCAAATCTGAAGTAATCTTCCAAAAATGACTAATATGACCTCTCCAGAATGGGAAGGTGATAATATTTTCTTTTTGAGATGGAGTCTCTCTCTGTCACCCAGGCTGGAGTACAGTGGCATCATCTCGGCTCACTGCAACCTCCGCCTCCTGGGTTCAAGCAATTCTGGTGCCTCAGCCTCCCGAGTAGCTAGAATTACAGGTGTACACCACCACACCCAGCTAATTTTTGTATTTTTACTAGAGATGAAGTTTCACCATGCTGGTCAGGAGAGTCTTGAACTCCTGATCTTAAGTGACCTGCCCACCTCAGCCTCCCAAAGTGCTGGGATTACAAGCGTGAGCCACCGCGCCCAGTGGTGATACATTTTTGTTTTTATGTATTCCTTGTTTATATTGATAAAAGTGGGCAGTAAGTTGAAAATTTATGCATGTAGGATTTAGTAGCTGCAGCTTTTTTTTTTAAAATTTATTTATTATTATTATACTTTAAGTTGTAGGGTACATGTGCATAACATGCAGGTTTGTTACATATGTATACTTGTGCCATGTTGGTGTGCTGCACCCAACACACTTAAGCCTCAGCAATGGTGGGCGCCCCTCCCCCAGCCTCGCTGCTGCCTTGCCTCGAGATCGCAGACTGCTGTGCTAGCAAGGAGGAAGGCTCCGTGGGTGTGGGACCCTCCCGGCCAGGTGTGGGATATAATCTCCTGGTGTGCCTGTTTTCTTAAAGCACAGTATTGGGGTGGGAGTTACCCGATTTTCCAGGTGTTGTGTGTCTCAGTTCCCCTGGCTAGGAAAAGGGATTCCCTTCCCCCTTGCGCTTCCCAGGTGAGGCGATGCCTCGCCCTGCTTCAGCTCTCGCTGGTCGGGCTGCAGCAGCTGACCAGCACTGATCGTCCGGCACTCCCCAGTGCGATGAACCCAGTACCTCAGTTGAAAATGCAGAAATCACCGGTCTTCTGTGTCGCTCACGCTGGGAGTTGGAGACTGGAGCTGTTCCTATTCGGCCATCTTCTCTCTCTTTCCTAGCTGCAGCTTTATCCTATGGCTTCTGCAGCTTTTGTAATCTGGCAGCGCACATCTGCTATACTATCTAAATGTTTCCTCAGAAGGAGAAACACTCTTTAACAACTTATCACTCTAGTCTGTTGGCCACCATTTTCCCTCAGATGCTCACAGCTCCTTCTGTGGGATTTGAAGATATGACTTCCATGACACTTGATCAGTATGTCAATGGGTATTGAACCACTCTTCAGCTCTGATCCCACGGTTCAGTTCCTATCTGTGTGACTTTATGTGTGTCTTGGTGGTGGGAAATGTGATTCTTTCATCTACTTTCTCCATTTATCTTACTCAGAGGAACCGTACTCTAATTGGAAAATGGATTGAAAGCTTATAAATTTCCTTGAGTTTTAACTTTTCTCCTTTGGTCTTTTTTTCTTTTCAAATGACTTGAAGGCATATTGATAAGCTTCTATGAGAAAATGAAGGGTTGAACAAATTGAACATGTATGACTGAATGAATAGATTAATACATAAATGATAAATTTATTCAATAATTTGAATGAAATCAATCGAGAGGCACTGAGAATAAATTTGTGTCCTAGAAGTTAGAAGACCTGAGTTTGAAATAACTAGTAGTTCTATTATACGGGAGAGATTACTTAATCATCACTGGACTTCATTTTCCTCATTTGGAAAGTAATTCAATTACACTAAACAGTCTTTAACTTCTCCTTCACTTATGAATATATGTTTTAAGCCATTTAAGATGTTAAATAATGTCACGTCCCATGGGACTTCTGTTTGTTGTTCTATTCAAGCATGTTAGCTCGTGTCTATCAGAGGACCTGCTGCCTTTCCACAGCCAGTTCTCTAGATTATTTTTAATCAGTCAGTGCGCACATGGTCAATATTTACTCAATAGAATTCAGTTCTCTCACATTCCACTAGGATTCTTGATTAATTTTATTACTTATGCCAAACTATTATCTTCTTAACTATTTTAGGTCCAAACAGTTTTACCTTTTATCCTGGCATTCATATATTAAAAAAAGTTTCATAAGGCTGGCCGCGGTGGCTCACGCTTGTAATCCCAGCACTTTGGGAGGTTGAGGTGGGCAGATCACGAGGTCAGGAGATGGAGACCATCCTGGCTAACACGGTGAAACCCCGTCTGTACTAAAAATACAAAAAATTAGCGGAGCGTGGTGGCGGGCACCCGTAGTTCCAGCTACTCGGGAGGCTGAGGCGGGAGAATGGCGTGAACCCGGGAGGCGGAGCTTGCAGTGAGCCGAGATCGCGCCACTGCACTCCAGCCTGGGTGACAGAGCGAGAGTCTGTCTCAAAAAAACAAACAAGCAAGCAAAAAAAACCACATAAAAACAACCAAAAAAACCCCTGTTTTGTAGTCAAAAGAAAAACTTTTTATAAATCAACCGATCCTGCGAAGAAACTATGAAAAATATCCTCTCTTTCCAAAAAAAATTTAGACTATCAATATATACACATAAAGAGATGAACTCCGATAAAATGGATAAGTAAAATTCACTATGATAGCAAGTTTTAGAGAACAAGCACAGGAGTTAGTTGACCTGGGCCCTTAAACAGATATCCTCCCTCTCATCTCCTGTTATTTCCTGTGTAATGTTAGTATCATTCCTGCCTGACTCTCACAGATTTATATGATTCCTACTCTGTACCAGGTGCCTTATTGGGTCTTAGTGGTAAAAAGATGAACAAGATTAATGTAGCCCATTGAGAAGCTATCTGTAAGTGAACATACACGCAAACTAATATTTGATTCAATGTGATAAGTGCTGTTGCTGGTCATAGGTGCCAGAAGAACAGCAGAGTTATTTTTTCCTCCAAAATTGTGGAAAAATTTTTATTCCTGGTGTGATGTAGTATAAAATACACAGCACCACCTTTGAAGTATTTTTGCCAAATGAATTTAACCAAAATCTAATCAAGACTTTAGATCTAAAGAAAATCTAAAGGTAATCCAATTTATAGGAAATGAGGGATATAGAAGAACAAGTTAAATAATACCACAGGAAAGCATTCAGACAAGTCCAGAAAGTAAGATGTTCTAAAGGACGATTAGCTTGATCTCTTCAACGGTCAATGTCATTAAAAACTCAAAAAGAAGCAGGACTCTTTTAGATTAAAAGAGATTAAAAAGGCATAACAACCAAGTGCACTACATGGTCCTTGATTATGTCCTGGCTTTTACAAACCATTTGTAATTATAATGAAACCATGGAGGGAAATTGAAGATGGACTGGGCATTAGATGATATGGCAGATATATTATTAATTTTTTAGGAGTGTTAATAGTATCATGGTTATGTTGGACATATCCTAATTGTTTATAATAATGATTTGGTAAAAAGACATGATGTCTTATTTCCCATTAAAATAGAGCAGCAGAAAAAAACAAATGAGCCAAATATGGCAAAAGTGTTAACAATTGATGTAATAACATTTTATATATATATATATATATATATATATATATATGTTCAATTATAATATTCTTAGTAATTTTTTATGTCTGAACATTTTCATAATAGTTAAAAATAAAAGATAAAAGATAAAAATAATATAGATTTAAAATCACTTCATAAACTCTAAAGTGATAGATAGATGAAAGAGATAATAAAGTGCTGTAGAAAGGCGGAATGGTCCCTTTTCAAGCATATGTGCCACCTTGGACCATGCTGCTAAGAGAAACCATTCCTGACTGCCACAAAGAGGCCATCAAATGCCTGTAGAATATAAACCAGGAGCAACATTAGGATTCCCAGATCCTGATTTTTTTTTTTTAAACACATCTCCTCAGGCCAAGATGACGTTGAACAAAATTAAAGACCAACAACTTTTTGCAGGGAAAGGCAGGCTACAGCAGCTTGAACTTGTCTAAGGAGAGCTGAAAACCTGCAACATTACTATCTGAGAGTAACCAGTGGGCCCTTCCTTTTTGCAGGACGGTAGGATTTGGCACCCAAAGAAGGTATCTGAAGCCATGGATGATTGCCGTTCTCATTGTGTTGTCCCTGACAGTGGTGGCAGTGACCATAGGTCTCCTGGTTCACTTCCTAGTATTTCGTAAGTAAAATTAAGGATTTCACTCTATATGATTTTATTTTTCAGCAAAGCTTCATTTACATATATGTAAATGTAATTTCATCTAAAAAATTGCACATTTACCTGCAAATTTCCACAGAGTATGTTTAATTGTTTCAGTCATTTCATCAATAAGCAAGTACTAAATGCTTATTATATGTGACTACTTTTCTGGATACTCAGGATACAGCTTAATCAAAGTAGACAGATTTCCAATTTCCTTAGAACTCTCAATCTAGATTTGTGTGAGAATCTACACAAAAAGATCAAAAATTGTAATCGTCTGAAACTTACTAGTAATTATAATAAACAACTCATCACTTATTATATATTAAAATGTAAAGGTATGATAAATTAGTTATTAAAATTGGCTCTTTTACTCATGAACCATCATTTTCTGTCCAACATTTCTAAGGCAAAAGAAAAGCACTTGTCTAATAAAATAAGGAATTTTAAAATGATTGAAAACCTATAGTATGACACAATATTATCATTTATTTTTAGAGAAAAAAATTTACTCTTGCCAAAAAAATATTCAGGGAGTATATTTTTATCAATAAATATACTTGTAATTACACAAATAATGCGTTTCAAGATTCTTTTTTCATATTGAGTCTCTTTCTGAGAATACAAGCCATTTATATTTTTTGACAAATCTCTACAATGTCACTCTCACATGAATGTATGTGATAAATAACTCAGGCTGCTCACTTTAATGGTCTTATCTGTCGTCACCTTCCACAGACTAAATGGGGGAGCAAAGACTCTATCTGGAGCCTTAAAGGGCTTAAGATCATAGTCCTAGGCCTTATATGACAACTCCAGCTGTAGTTTATACCGTTGGCAAAAGATTCTCAGGTCTGTTTATGTGGTTGCATAAAAGCCCAATGAGAGTAAGGTTTGACAACAGTATGACTTACATGGATAAGTAATCAGGACGTCCAAAAAGATATTACAAGGTCAGAGATTTCCCACTTAAGACATACGCCTTCCTGATATCCCTGTTTCTTTCCTTGATTTGTAGTCTGGAAACCCACTGCCTCTTCCCTGAGCCAGGCTTCTCAAGGATTTAGGTTGTCTTGTGTTTATTCCATTCTCTATCTTTAACTCTGTAGCTGTCTTACCCACTCTGGGCCTTACTCCTCAGATTACCAAATTCCTTAGGAGTCCCAACTACTTTCTTTTCTTATATTTCCTAATAGATTTATTCCTGTTGCACACTAGTCTCGTCTTCAATCTCAAGACAGCTCCTCTCTACACTTTCTTTTCAAGTTTTTCTTAGTGTGCCTGACAGTCTTGTTACAAATCAAAATTCACAAGGACATTCACTTATCTCTACTTCCACTAGAGCGTATGGTGGTACACATTTCAACTCAGCAAGGAGCAATGTAGCAATGAAATGTTCAAGCTCTACAGCTAGACTGGATTTAAAGCTTGGACAGGCCACATACTAGTTATAGAACAAGTTACTTAACGCCTCTGTGCCTTACTTTTCTTATCTGTAAAATGAAGATGATACCAATCTTAGAGAGCTGGTGTGAGGATTAAATGAGCTAATTCATGAAAACTGCACAGGACTGTGTCTGGCATATTGTAGAAACTCAATAAATGGCAGCTATTATAATTAATATAAAACATTAATTTTTAAAAACAAAATTCAAATATGAAGGAGCTCAGGGACATATTCAAGACTTTATATTGGCCCCACTATAATTGGGTTCTGAAATCTTTGTCCAAACCATTTAGTTTCCTATTTTTCATTTCCATTACAGACCAAAAAATGGAGTACTATCATGGCTCCTTTAAAATTTTAGATCCACAAATCAATAACAATTTTGGACAAAGCAACACATATCAACTTAAGGACTTACGAGAGACGACCGAAAATTTGGTGAGTCAGGTAAACTTCTTTTTATCACAGAATAATGTAAGTGGAAGGGATTTTGTGGATCATTTCTCCATTTCTAAAAACATGATTTTCAGACCACCCACATTAGAATCATCTTGCAGATTGCTAGGCCGCATCCCAGACCTGCTTAATCAGAGTCTGATGAGATGGGTAGGTGGGGAGAGGGGAGTAAGGGAATCTGCATGTCTAACAAATGGGTGATTCTAATAAGCCCCTCTTTCTAACTCAACTACCTTATTTAAAGGTAAGAGAATTGAGGCCAAGATGTCCTAGCCCATTTCTTCCCCAATTCCACTTAGTTTCCCCAGAAGAAAAGCCTAATCATACCAAAACTAGTTTTTATAAGTCCACACACTTTTTTGTAAGACTGCATTTTAAGATTTTGAGTATTTTCAGAATTTACATTCATCTTGTAAGTGTATTGATAAAGACAAAAACTCAGACTTACTTTGTAGTAATCGTCAAATGCTAATAATTTTGTTAAAGCTAAAGTGCAAGACTGCTCCCAAAAAGAAAAAAGCACACTCAGTTATATAATCATTCCACTCAGAATGCCCATGAACTCTCACTCGATAACGAGGTTTAAATTAATTTTTCTGACAAGGAAGCACAGAAGCAGAGAGTTATTTTAAAAAGAAAGAAAGGACAAATGTGTTGGTTTGTTTTAGTCAAAGAACCATTTTTAAGACACTTTCTTTCTCAAATCATTTATCATTTCTTCCTGTGATCATTTGCTCTTTGTCCATAGTATACCTAATGGCATCATATTTACAATAATATCGTAGACTTTATAATCTCTATTTTCAGTTAACATTAAATCATGCACAATTTTTTAATTTTGTGGTTTCATCTTTCCCAACCAATAGTTAATGTCTACAGATTGATATAGATCCTTCATTCTTTCACATGCAGAGCATCTTATAAAAGAGCATTTGCAATCAATTCTTGAGTTATGCTAGGATGAACTTGGAGCCTGCACCTATACACCCAAATACCTCCTCTACTCCTCCAGTCCTAAGTGACTCCACATAACCTCCTCAATGTAAAAAAAGAAAACTCTTAACTTGCCTTAGTTAAAAAGATAAACACATTATTTGAATGATGGAAAATGTTACAATTTACTGGGAATTTTTGAAATTTGTTTAATTGATGTTTTATGGCCAACACTATGGTTACTGTTGTTGTTGTAAGTTAACTAAGCAATTCTGTCTTCACTGAAGTAAATGGACAAGAATGCAAAGGCTCTAAAAGAAGTGAGAGAAAAGCAGAAGTGCATGATGAACAGAAACTCTATTTAAAAATGGACTTTTAAGTTTCAGCTAAGCATGTGTTCCTTCAAAGGCTAAGACTAAGTTAAATAAGGACATATTATCATCATGGGTACCTGCATTATTTATTTATCCTCCTTTATCACCATAGCATAAGCGCTTACCCTCCCCCTTCCAGGCAACCATTCTGTTTCATGAGGTATTCTTTTGTTTGTATTCATTCTTACAAAAATATGTTTTGCTGTTTTGCATGCACATGCTTTTAACTTACATTTTGTGTTATAAATCACTTTTGTTTCACCTCTTTTTACTGAGAACTTTTAAAAAGATCTATGTTACTATATATACCTTTAGTTTATTGCTGTTAACTGCTAATTCATAGTGTGTATCTACTATACTTTACCTGCCTGTCATGCCAAGAAATGCCACACTAAACAGACTCCTACTTACCCCCTTATAGACCATGCAAGTACTTCTGGAAGCAGAATTACTAGGTCATTGAATGCACATATACTTAATTTGACCATTTGGCGCAGGTTTGCTCTTCAAAATGGCTGAATCAGTGTGCACTCCCATCTACAATGCATGAGGATTTCATGTCCCCACATCTAACCAACACTTAGTATCTTAGTATGTTTAGGCTACTACAACAAAAAAATCCCATAGGCTGGGTATCTTAAACAATGAACACTTATTTCTCATAGTTCTGGAGGCTGAAGGTTCCAAGATGAAGATGATCAAGGATCTAGCAGATGTCTGGTGAGGGCTTGCTTCCTGGTTCATAGAACACCACCTTGCTGTGTCCCTCATGGCAGAAGCCATAAGAGAACTTTCTTTTGTAAGGACACGAATGACTTTCATGAGAACTCCACCCTCATGACCTAACTATCCTCCAAAGGCCCCATCTCCTCTATCATCACTTTGAGAGTTAAGATCTCAAAATATAAACTTCAGGGGAACATAAACATTCAGTCCACAGCACTTCAAATTATTTGACTTTCTGAATTTGCCACACTAATAAGTATAAAGTAGTATTTTATCTGTGATTTACTTTGCATGTTCTAATTACTAATGAGTTTGTGCATTGTTATGTATAATTACTAACTTTTTGGACTTTCATTTCTATAAATTGCCTGTACATATTCTTTGCCTATTTTTCTGTTAGACTTCATTTTTTACCTTATTTGTATTGCTTTGCAGAAGTTCTTTACATTTTCTAGATATTGATAGTGTGTTGGTTGTAGACACTGCACTTATCCATTCTGTCTTCTACTAATATTGACCATGTTGTTCTTTACAAAACAGAAATCTGTAACTGAGGTAATCATTTTTTCACTGTTTTGCCTTATGATTGTATTTTGAAGCTTTTCTTTAAGTCCTCCTTCCCTTCTAAGACATAAAAATATTTTACTATGTTATTTATTAACCTTATAGTTTTATCTTTTACATTAGGTCTCTAGTACATGTGGAATCCACCTTTGGATGAGAGGTTAGGTAGATTCAGTTTTTTAATTCATATAGTGAGCCAGTTTTTAAATATAAATAGCTAAAATATCTTGGCTTTTCCTAACATGTGATGTGATTATTGAGCTCATTGCATGCATTTCTTGGCACCTGGGTCTTGCAGAAGAGGAAACATGATCTGTCTCCTCAAACTGCTTCCAATCTTTTTGGAGAGATGTGAGTAACACACATGGAACTGAGTATCATGACATGATGTAATTAAGGGCTAAATTATATGTTGAGCACAGTAAGTACAGAAAAACTTCAAAACCGGACAAAGATTCCCATGGTCAGAAAAGGCTTTATATTATTTTAACTCTGTTTAAATAAGACAGGTGTTTTTCTCCTCCCATCTCCCACCAGGTTAGCTTTAGAAGAATTACGGGAAGAGTTTATGCCTCATCCTGAGCCACACCTGTTTATTGTTGCTAAATCCCGATGAATACAACCAGATTCTTCTTTCTGTCCTACATGGGTGCTAATTAGACAACCAAGGAAGACAGGTGGCAGGTCCTGTTCTTCCTCTCTTTGGGCTTTACTGATTTGAATGCAAATTGAGATGCAAAAGTAAAATGAGTTCATATTTAGATACTGCTATAATCCATCCCTGTTCCCTGAGATAGTGGAGCAGATATATCTCATCTCTCATATCATCCTTCAGAGAAGAGTCCATTAATCAGACATTACTGATGTCTGATTACTGTAGGCTGGTCATCCTGCAGGCAGAGAAGCATGGCATCCAGCAGAAGCTGAGAGCATGCACTTCGAGGGAGGGAAGGATAAGCCAGGAATTTATGCTGAATGAGCTGGCTAAGTATACATGTTCAATAAGTTCTAGTGGAAGTCACAAATACTTATGAAAGGAGAAACATGACCATGTGCAATTGAGCTTTATGCCTCTTACTGTTTTGCATGTTCAAAAAATGGTGGCATTAGCATGATCCAAGGGTGGAGTTTTCAGCCATTTGATGTTAAAAGGTGAAGCTGAGGACACGAAACCCTTACTATGCGTCCTCTGTGAGTCAGCCAAAACCAGTCTGGACTGCTAGCTAGATTAACAAAGAAAAAAAGAGAGAGAAGATACAAATAAGCACAATCAGAAATGACAGAGGTAACATTACAACCAATCCCACAGAAATACAAAAGATCATGTGAGACTATTATGAACACTTCTATGTAGATAAACTAGAAAATCTAGAGGAAATGGGTACATTCCTGGAAAAACACAATCTTCCAAGATTTAACAGGAAAGAAATTGAAACCCTGAACAGACCAATATTGAGTTCATAATTAAATCAATAATTTTAAAAACCTGCCAACCAAAAGGAAAAAAAGGCCCAAACTAGAAGGATTTACAGCCAAATTCTACCAGACATACAAGAAATAGCTAGGACCAATTCTAATGAAGTTATTCCAAAAAATTGAGAAGAGTCTTCTTCCTAAATCATTCTATGAAGTCAGCATTACCCTGATGCTAAAACCTGACAAAGACACAATGAAAAAAGAAAAATTACAGGCCAATATCCCTGATGAACATAGATATAAAAATCCTCAACCAAATACCAGCAAACCAAATCCAGCAGCACATCAAAGAGTGAATTTTCCAAAATCAAGTAGTCTTTATTTCTGTGATGCAAGACTGGTTCAACATATGTAAATCAATAAATGTGATTTACCACATAAACCCAATTAAAAACAAAAACCATACAATTATACAGGCACAGTGGCTCACATCTGTAATCCCAACACTTTGGGAGACTATGGTGGGCAAATTACCTGAGGTCAGAAGTTTGAGATCAACATGGTGAAACCCCATCTGTACTAAAAATACAAAAATTAGCCGGGCATGGTGGCATGGTGGCAGGTGCCTGTAATTCCAGCTACTCGGAAGGCCAAGGCAGGAGAATCACTTGAACCCAAGAGGCAGAGGCTGCAGTGAGCTGAGATCACGCCATTGCACTGCAGCCTGAGTGACAGCGCAAAAATCCATCTAAAAAAAAATTTAAAAATTAAAAATTAAAATCATACAATCATCTCAATAGATGTGGAAAAAGCTTAGATAAAATTAAACATCCCTTCATAATAAAAACCCTTAACAGGCTAGGCATCAAAGAAACATACTTCAAAATAATAAATGCCATCTTTGACAAACCCACAGCCATCATCACACTGAATGGGCAAAAGCTGGAGGCACTCTCCTTAAGAACAGGAACAATACAA